TATATATATATATATATATATATATCCGTTTGTGTATTTACATTTTTCTGTATTTTTTTTTAATTTCTGGTGTGTTTACATGAAATATATATTATTTACCATTTTCTGTGTTTTAATAAGTTTTTATTTTTTATTTGAAAAATTGAAACTTTTTATATTCGTTTATTCTATATTTTTATACAATTAAAAAAAAACTACTTTAAATTAGAGGGTCAAATAGATGAATCAGGGCCAGAGTAGGTTGTGACCCACTTTGACCCATAGACATAAATGACAAATGGATTAGAGGGTTAATATGGATGAATTGATACTCAATCCACTCAACCCAATCCACCCATTTGCCACCTCTATGAAAGGGACAGACTGTATAGCATCTTAACCTTTGACCTGTTTCTTCAAAAAGTGGTCACTAGACTTTGATCCCCATTGTTTATAAATCATACATGAAATGTTAAATAAATAATGATAAAAACGAGTTCCACAAACTCATGAATCGCTCTCTAATTCACATATCACGTATCTTCCACATGCAGCACGAGAACTGGCGCTATGTCCTATGTTCTTCGTTTCAACTATCTCTTTCACAACCGCCCATATCATTAATTGTTATTAACTTTAACTTAAATATACGCGGCTAGAGGTTTGGAGTAATGACACTTGGCCACCAAACTTTTGGATTCCAGTACTTTGCTTCTGGCATCAACACTCCATCAGTTAAAAATATTTGATTAGATATTTCTAAAGCCCCAAACTATTATGTTATTTTATGAAATCATTTTCCCTATTAATTTAATTTTTTTATATCCTAATTCTTACATATTTGATGTTTCTAATTCTATAGTTTTTCTTTAATCCATGTTCACTTCAGAACACCTTTGAACATCACCCATCAAACTTTAGGCACTCAAAAACAACAAAAAAGACAACATAATGGAAATACATCAAACTGATTTGTCAATGCACCGCTCCAAAAATGATGGAATACCAATAAGCCTGTGCTTGAAAATGATGCAAATAAGTATGAATGAAAACGGTTTATATAAATTAAAAAATTAGGTTATTTTTGCATTAACAAATTTATCT